GGAGGGGGGCCTTCCCCTCCCACCGCGTTGCAGTCTTTGGTCGCTGCCTAGGCTGCCTCTCCTTTAGCCTTATCTCTTTCCGGGCTTTCCTAGAACTCTTAGCCATCTCGAATCCCAAACGCATAAAACCTGTGCGGTTCCTGAAGCCGAGTGGTGAATCTGAGAGAACAGTGACAGAGTAGAAGCGTTTGGGGGTGCTCACAGGATAAGGAACAGGACCTGGGGGCCAGCGCGGAAATTCAAAATTCCTAACACCAGGGAGCACGTGATTTTCCAACGACTGAGTTTCGGAAGTGCAGCTGAAAAATCTTGTAGGGAAGGCACGCAGGGTGAGGGGAAGGACACTCTTAAAAGAGAGCAAAGCGCTGGAGGCAGAGCTGTTAAGCCTGGGAGTAAAATCCTTCTCTCTTGACAGTTTGGTTATCAGCAGAAAGCAGAAAAGGCTGGACCGCTACTTTAGCTTTCACATTTCGTACTCTTGGAAATTGGACTGTTTTCCGGATCTTGAGGGTGACACCCCGAGTTCAAAGGTCAGACTGATTTTAAATTTGAAGCTGGCCCTAAATATGGCAGGCAGGTAACCACATAGCCCTATGAAAGCTGTCTTTCAAATTCCTTACAATGTTTTACTCCTAAGCATTTGCTGCTCCTCCCGCCACCCCCCAGGTTTTTTTGTTGTTGTTGTTTTGTTTTTTGTTTTTTTACTTCTTTGGTTGCAGTATAGCCGTTTGGATTCTGGGATTCTAGGATGAAACTATAGTCTAGCTATGCAAAGCCTCTTCCACTCGGGCGCTTTTCTCTCGGTTTGACTTAATTCTTAAACGTTTTGAACATGGAACCCTGAGGTTTGCAGCGCTCTGCAACCCCTCGCCCGCTGTTTGATAGGTTAACTTTTCAGCATCCAGACAATGGTCCTGACCTGTAAACTCTACCCGCAGGTTTCAGGACGCAATCCCCAGGCTCTCTCTAACAGGCGCTATCTTAATCTCCCCAGCCCCCACCCGCCGCTTCCCCTGTGGTCTGCTTTTTTCATAGAGATGAATTACTTTGGGGATCTAATTGGCCTTGTTTCTGTAACGTTTTAAGAAAGGGAAGAGGAGCCAGTCTAAAAAGGCTGCTCGACTTGGGTGGTCAGGGCCGAGGCTGCCCCCAATTTGCCTCATTGCTGATGCATGTGAGTGTGACATTCCCAGCGATAATGTTGTTCCTAATCAATCTACCCTTATTTACATTTGTAAGCATTGTCGGCTTTAATATGCATGCCCTGTGCAGGGGGCCGCTGAGCCACACCGGGTTTGTTAACTTCCAGCTAACCGCAAGGATTCCACGGACCTGAGAGGCAGAGTGGGGGAGCCAGGCCTACTAAGGTGTCTGTTGGCAGTTCAGTCCCTTTAAGGGTTTTTCTGCCTGGTGACTCCCCCAAATAACTGAGAATTTAGGGCTTTGACCAGCAGGAATTGCCTGCCTCTGTGAAGCCAGAGTTGAGTGACCATCATCCCCTCTTCCAACTCAAGTTCAACTGAAGACATAAATTGTCATTTTTTTTTTTCTCTAATCACAACCCAGGACTGTAGATTCCCTTCATAGATTCCTTCAAAGCTCTGGATTCCCTTACTGTCTCCTCCCCTGCTGGTCCCAGTGCTTTAGCTATCCATAGCCATGCCACACACATCTCAAAAATGACACCAGATTGTCCAAGTGCTAAGATGACACTTGAGATAAAACATCTGCCCTCTGTGTTGGAACGTTCCAATGGTGCAAAGTTGTGGGTGCCAGGCTTGTTGAAGTTTAAGTTTTCACTGGCTTCTCAGATGCAACTAAGTGAATCTTTAAGATCCACATAAAGGGGCAAAGGTGTTCCAGCCATTTGACCGTAGACTTAGTCATAACTTTCCCCATCAAGTTTAATAGTCTTCCTGAAATTCAAAGAATTGCAAATATGATACTAAAATCCTACAATAGCCTTGTTGCAAGGATGAGATGCAGTGAGGAAGGGAGTGTGATATTCTGTGGATGTTTCAAGGGGAGCATCCTTGTAGGGAGGAGGATGTGGTGTTGTATGTGTGATGGCTAGTATAGGAGACAGACGTGAGTGTCAGGCAATTGCCAGGGAAGTTCAAAGGCATTTTGAATAAGAATTAAGTCTTCAGCCAATATGCCACCATTTTACCCCATTTTCTTAACTCTCAGGAATGTCTTATTTCCTCAATGGCAGTCTGTGTATTTATAGCAGCTGTACAGGGAGATGGCAGAAAATGAACCTAAACGGTTTCAGGGAGGAGGGAAGGAAAGATTCAGAAGCCACAAAAGTGTAAAACCACTGGGCTTGACTCCCCTCA